ATATCTAATTTATGTTATCTCTGAGTGCTGATAGTAAGGCGGGGGTGGGGCTGGAAGTGGAGGGAGAGTTCAGTTGAACTATGTGCTAGTGTGCTGGTGTGAGCTGGTGGTGCAGGACGTTGCTACTGGGGGTTCTAGTGGGAGTTGAGGATTCCTGAAGTAGTGAACTGTTGACAATGGAAAAGTATTACCCCTTGTTACTACTGCAGTAAAGGGGCGATTGCTGTCACAATTGTCACTGTGAGTGATTGTGTATGTTAGCATGAATTTTGTGTTTTCTTATTTACTCATTCACAATTTGTACTATTTGTTGTTTTTCCACACATATTTTTACTCTGAATCATCTTATCTACCAATGTTCATCCTATATTCATTTCTTCATTTTGGCAATATTAACCCCTCCTTGTCACATAACCAAAAGTCTCAAAACTGTTGAAATACTCTTTAAAATCAGATACTATGTTCCCCCACTCTGCTCTCTTCTCATTACACTACTCGCTAATTTATCCCTATCTTACATACGGTATCTAAGCTTGGGGTTCAACTACTGCAAATTACCTCAAGGCCATCATCATCCACAAAAAAATCTGCTACCAGAACAATAACTAACACTATTTGTAGACAACACTCAGCCCCTCAGCTTAAATCTCTAAACATGCTAAACTTACACTCACTCCACACTTGCTCTTGTGCTATTTACATGTACAAAACGGTGTTCCTAAATGCAAATCCTCATCTGACACTCTGAATATCCTGACAGATGTAATAGAACCCATAACCACCACGCCAGAAATAAATATCTCTTGGTTATCACCAGAGTCAAACTAAATCTGTGCAAACACTCTGCATATAAAAGTACCTGAAAAAAAGTATAACTGAAAAATATTGTATATTCGTTAGTGTCTACAGACTTAACACTTCTTTTGTGTTCCTTAAGTCTGTCATTTAACATATGGTCAGTTTACCAAAAGTATTGGAAAGGACAAGATGAACAGGAAATATAGTAGACACCAGGTGTAAACGAATGGCTTTTGCTATTATCGATGAAAATACTTTTCCCCTACAACAGACTTAAGCTAATTGGCGATAGTTTGACACATGTGATTTATCTCCCTTTGTAAAAATCTGTACTACATGAGCAACCGTCCACGACTCTGATATTCTGCTCGACTCTGATTATTTATTAAATATGGAAGACCAGGACTCACAAAGTTCTCCTGGGGACTTGTTTGATTTAATATTTCAATTTGTTTATTTCCTCGCTAAGAACCACTAAAATAGTCATTATATCCTCTTTACCACCAATGTAGACTTGTAAATTGAAAAACAAGTAAGTAATTGTCAAAAGAAGGCATCAAACCAGGCAGTCAAACGATAGGCACCAGAGCTGAGGCGCAACCTATTATGGTGCTATGTAGGCACCATTAAATGTGCAGAATAATCAGAGAGAACTAAATATCACTAAGAAAGCCAATACAAGAACAGAAACACATAAGGCGAACGATATCAAAAGTATCTGATTCACCAAGAATTCTTTCGAGGGACAAGCGACCGCGAGGGACTGTCGGAAAGCAAGACTCATGCTGGTTCTGGAAGTCAGGACATTCAACAAGGATATGCACGACCGTAAGAGGGACAATGCAATTTGGACAATAAGAAGCAGGGGCAGGGCAACACTCCAATAAGTGACCGTGAGTTAAGCATGTATGGCCAATATGTAACCTCGCCAGAGCCGTTTTCCATCGCTGGTTACGGTGGTAAGAGGAATGCCATGACACACTAAGAGGTAAGAGGACACACTACTCTTAAGAGTACGCAGTTTGTTACCAGTAACAGAAGACCAACAATCCTGCCAACGGGTAAGCATGGAGGAATGAATAACTGGGTAAAAGTCGGAATAAGCAATATTTTTACAGGAGATGGGACATGAACGGACAGCTTCCCTATCATGCAGCATCTGCACGCTCATTTAAAGAGACACCAATAAAGGTGGAAACCCAGCAAAACTCAACTGACTAAAATTTTCTGGAAATAAGAAACAGACAATTTTTAATCTCAACGACCACAGGTTGGACCAGATTAAAGGACCCAAAAGCCATGAGGGCACTGCGAGAGTCAACGACAACTACAAAGGAAGATTGACAACGAGAACGCAGGAGACGAAAAGCATAGAGAATAGCATAAAGTTCTGTTGTGAAGATGCTAGTCTCAGGAGGTAGGCGACACATATAAGTGCGGTCAGGAAAAAAAACAGAGTAGCCTACACTTTCCGCAGACTTAGACCCATCGGTGAAGATGGAAACAGAGCTGGAGTGCGAAGAAAAGTAATCAAAGAAAAGATCACACTCCAGCAACCGCCATAAGGATCTTCAGACCCTTGGTTAACCTTTTGTGATGATTAATATCTATATAAATAAAAATGGAAATGTTCGTTTGTGCATAACCGCTAATCTCCGAAAGTTCTTCACCGATCTTGAGATGATTTCGGAGCTTTTTTAGTGTCCCAGCGGCCCGGTCCTCGACCAGGCCTCCACCCCCAGGAAGCAGCCCATGACAGCTGACTAACACCCAGGTACCTATTTTATTGCTAGGTAACAGGGGCATAGGGTGAACGAAACTCTGCCCATTGTTTCTCGCTGGCGCCTAGGATTGAACCCAGGATCACAGGATCACAAGTCCAGCGTGCTGTCCGCTCGGCCGACCGGCTCCCGAGCTTCTCTCCAATTGCATTGAAATTTTCACACAACGTTCCATTCGCATCCGAGCAGGTTTTTATATACATACTATATAGATGACACGTCTGTGACAGTAAAATAACATGTTTTTTCTTAAAACTGTGTTTTTCAGTTTTTCATGTGACGGAAATCTTCGAAACCTCTTTACCGATTGCTTTGAAATTTGGACACAACATTGCATTCGAATAGGCGCATCTTTTTATATACCTACTTTATACATGCCTCACCTGTGACAAGCAAAAACATGCGGTTTTGAAAAACAGTGCCATCTGTTGGACGTAAAAGCAACACACGCTGTAATCTCCGAAAGTTCTTCACTGATTGCTTTGAAATTTTGACACAACATTACATCTGAATAGGCGCGTCTTTTTATATACCTACTATATAGATGCCACAACCGGGGACAGGTAAAAACATGCGTTTTTTAAAAACAGCGCCATCTGTTGCACATAATAGCAACATGCACGCTATACTAAATATGTCACGAATTCCATTTCAATGTTTCCAATTGCATTGATTAATTTTATTTTCATAGATTTCGATTTATTTTATTTTATATTGAATTATTTTGTGTAACATTGTGTTGGAATTGAAATGTGTTGTTTACCATACCGTTCATTTCGAAAGTATAAGTATAGATGCCACACTTGTGACAGGTAAAACTATGCTTTTCTTACAAAAACAGCACCATCTGTTGCATGTAAGAGCTACACACACATGCTATACTAAATATGTTACAATTCCATTTCAATGTTTCTGGTTGCATTGATAAATTGAATTTTCATAGATTTTTATTTATTTTTATTTTTATTTAATTATTTTGTGTGAATTGCATTGGAATTGAACTGTGGTGTTTACCATACCTTTCATTTTGTGAGTATAGTTTATTTTTTGATTTTTTCATATTTTCATTTCATTTTTTTTTAACTGTTTTCTTATATTTCAGCGATGGGAACATCAGATCACTTCTTGTTCCCAATTTTCTGATGGGAACATTAGACCATTTGGAAAGGCATTGGACGAGAGAGTAGGGAATGATTGGGATGACTAGCGGACGGAAGTGAGAGATGGTGGGGAGGATGAGGGGACAAAGGAGGGGGTAATGGTAGGGAAGATTGAGGGGATGGGGAAGTTTGGCATGTTGGGGACGAGGGGATGGGGAATGGAGAATGGTGGGGAGAACAAAGGGACAGGGGGAGTGGGGCATGTTGGGAAGGAATCCCACCTGTGATTACACCTGTGACAAGTAAAAAAAGTTAAAAAAAAACAGCGCAATCTGTTGCTCGTAAGAGAAAACACGTTATACTATATGTGTTACTATTCTATTTCCATGTTTCTGATTGCATTGAAAATTTGAATTTTCATAGATTTGAATTTATTTTCATTTTGATTTAATTATTTTGTGTGACATTGCATTGGAATTGAGCTGTGTTGTTTATCATACCGTTCATTTCGTAACTATATGTATAGATTCCACACCAGTGACAGGTAAAAACAATCATTTAAGAAGAAAAAAATATTTTTTAAGAAACAGTGACATCTGTTGCATGTAAGAGCAACACATGCTGTAACAAACTATGCTTGTTGTAAGAATTATCCAGAAGGTTCCAGAAGTCGTGTAGGGACCTGACCTCACAACGCGCATTCCTCTGGGGATTAGCAAGTCTGAAGTCACAAATTGGCTGGCGTCCTTGTTCATAGTTCGAATAATGAATCATTCTATAGTACTCAGTATTTTAGAGAAATTAGCCTTCATTCATTTTGTATTCAAATTGTGTTGTATAGTATTACTGTTTATAATATCAAGAGTATTCTAATTATTAGGATATTGAGTTAAGTCACCATCAGTGACGTCACGAATCAGGACTACTCTTTATTGCGGAGTGACCTGGCGGTCATAGGTCAAGAGTTTCCACATTCAGTAATTCTCAAAGGTCAAATAGCCATTTTGGGATCGGGAATAGCTCTTCCTTAAGATGCTTGTGTAATTTAACTTCAGTTAAAATATTTCAACCAATCTGGATCAATTCAGTGCAACAGAGGTTAATTGTTAAACTTAAGCCTTGATAGAAACTTGGTAAAACTTAGACTATGCGGAAGGATACAATGCTCTAGTCTGGGGAAGACCAGACGAGGAGAGATCAGTGTGGGATCGAGATCAACTGGGGGAGGTCAACCATCTCACCTCTCCCCCAAGACCAGCACTCTACCCAAGCTGGTCAACATAGAGGTATAGTTGCTATTGTTACTTATAGGGATAGTCAATTCATTGCCAAGTAGGGAGTGTTAAATTGATAGGGAGTGAACATCTTTAGATTTTGTTTTAGTTTTTCTTTCAATAAAATAATTAGCTAGTAATTTGCATTTTCATTATTTCCATGTGTTTGTTATATTTATGTGAATTGGTCCTTGTCACGTGGTCCCCACGAGGCAGAATTGAATTGGGCGCCGATTCTAACATCGAATCTGAATTCATCATTCCCATTGAATTTTAATTCCATGAGT